ATTATGGGGGTACAAATGTTTTGGTTACATAAATTGCTTTAGTACTGTTTGAGTCAAAGTTATAAGTGTGTCCATCACCCAGATAGTGTGCCTTGTACCCTTTAGGTGTGAATTTACCCATCCTCTCCTCTTCCCTCCCACCTGCTGGATTTCCGATGAATGTTATTTCCATATGTGTACATAAGTGTTGATCGATTAGTTACAATTTAATGGGGAGCACATGTGGTGTTTGTTTTTCCATTGTTGTGATACTTCGCTTAGAAGAATGGTCTCCAGTTCCATCCAGGTTAATAGAAGAGGTATTAGTTCACCATTTTTTTTATGGCTGAGTAGTACTTCATGGTATATGTATACCACATTTTCTTAATCCACTCATGTATTGATGGGCACTTAGATTGTTTCCACTTCTTTTTAATTGTGAATTGTGCTGCTATAAACATTAGAGTGCAGGTGTCTTTTTTATAGAATGTCTTTTTTTCCTTTGGGTAAATACCCAGTAGTGGGATTGCCGGATCAAATTGGTAGGTCTGCTTTTAGTTCTTTGAGGTATCTCCGTATTGCTTTCCACAGAGGTTGCACTAGTTTGCAGTCCCACCAGCAGTGTATGAGTGTTCCTATCTCTCCACGTCCACACCAGCATTTGTCATTTTGGGACTTTTTGATGAAAGCCATTCTCACTGGAGTTAAATGATATCTCATTGTGGTTTTGATTTGCATTTCCTTGATGATTAGAGATGTTGACCATTTTTTCATGTATTTGTTGGCTACTAGTCTATCTTCTTTTGAAACATTTCTGTTCATGTCTTTTGCCCACTTTTTAATGGGATTGTTTGATTTTTTTTCTTGCTGATTTGGTTTCTTTATACATTCTGGTTATCAGCCCTTTATCAGATGTATAGCATGCAAATATTTTCTCCCAATCTGTAGGTTTTCTATTCACTCTGTTGATTCCTTGGCTGTGCAGAAGCTTTTTAATTTGATCAGGTCCCATTTATTTTGTTGTCGCTATGATTGCTTTTGGGGTCTTCTTCATAAATTCTTTGCCTAGGTCAATGTCTATAAGAGTTTCTCCAACATTTTCTTCTAGAATTCTTATGGTTTCATGCCTTGGGTTTAAGTCTGTTATTGATTGTGAGTTGATTTTTGTGAGTGGTGAGAGGGTGCAGATCTTGTTTCAGTCTTCTACACGTGGCTATCCAATTTTCTTTGAAATTCAGTCTTAATCAAAATTTGGTGAAAATTAACTGTAAACAAGGATCTTGGTACGTTGGGTTAGTGGGACCAAAATTTTACCTTTTTTCAAAGGCGTATAATAAGAGTTGATTTCTATGTGGTCTAAACTTTTAACAAAGATTGATTTTGACTTTTTTACGTAATTGAATTCATGTCATGTTTTTATTGATTATGTGGTATATGTGAATTTTGAACTGTTGAAGATTTCTTAAGTATACACAGCATTATCTTCCAAAAGTTACATTATCTTTTCTCAGATTATCTCTAGATTTTTTGCTCTCATAAGCAATTACTAAATAAGAATTTTTCATTTGGTGCAATGAATTTCAACATATTCTTTTTTTAAATGTTATTTTCAAAACTTTTAAAAACAGATTTCTTATAAATTCAATTAAATTGATATAATGTTTTCTAAGAAAATCAAGTGCTGTGTCTCATTGGTGTCTGTAAGATATATCTTTTAATTGCAGAGGATATCAATAAAAGTGACCAGTTGCTATTATTTTTTGTTATTCTACTAAAATTGTGTGAAAGGGGTAGATTCCTGATGTCTATGCTTAAAGAAATTGCTCCTTCTGCTAGTGGTGTTGACTGTGCCTGAAAAGACTCTTGATCATAAAAGTGAAAATCTTCCTTCTAGTAATGTTTTTGGATAGCAGTTCTATTTCTTTAATGATGGAACAAAATGATAGTATAGGACTTTGGTTTGGAATCTGTTTTTGCCCTTAAATCAGAAATGTTCTTGCATAATTTATCTTCAGTATATGAAGTTAACTCTAGTTGATTTTAGATAGAAATTTGTCAGTATAATTTTCTGTAGGGATATTTTGGGGATAAATAGAAAAGTTCTTGAATAATCTGAAGTTATTAAATTTTTTGTAGAAAATTACGAAAAACTATAAATGGTGACGGGAACCGAGAAAATGGAAATAACTCCTCTGATAAAGTCAGAGGAATAGAGACTTTGGAATCTGCACCCATTATTGGTGGTTTTTGGGAGACACTCTTTGGCAACAGGTGGGTGTCTTAACATTGCAATTTTTGCTTGATTTTGTATTCACGTTAGTGTTTACGGAGTATGTAGTATGATCAGGTTGTAGGAGTAAGTAGTGTAGGCATGCTATCACTGTGGTGTGATTTTTAAGGGTTCTAGGAGGATGCTACACAGGAGCCTGGTGTTGATGGGCCATAGAACAGAAAGGGAAATAAAGACAAATTTTACCTCATTCATAATTTTGCCAGTATGACAGCACTAGTGTATGACTCAAAAAATATTTTGTCATTTATTAATGATTGTGACTTGAAGTTTCTTTGTAGTTACTTTTTTGAAAAGGAAGTATGTTCACATATTTTTTTAAAGTTAAGTTTAACCCTGTAGTTGAAGTGTTTGGGTTCTTTATGTTTAATATTGTGCTGGGCACTGTGCATCCCTGTTCTCAATGATTTTACTGTCTAGTTAGGAAGAAAAGAGTAGCAGATGTAGTACAGTCACAACAGTGTAAAGATATTATGAGTGGTTACAAGCTCACTAAGTGCCATGTAGCTTAGCAGATGGAGTAATTACTTTGGGGAAAAGTGGTCAGCAGGAGTTACGAAGGAGTTGAGAGTTACTGGCTTTGAAGGCTGGGTAGTATTTTCATAGATAGACAGAAGAGAGGAAGATATTCTGTGAAATTATATGAGGTAGGAGTTGGTATTGTGTTTGAGAGGATAAGGGGAGAGGACTCTGAACCTACCTTTTTGCAAAACTGAAAAGTACGAGCTCTCTCAGTTAATTGACATGAGTCTTTGAAGAATAGATTTACATTCTCTGTGATTATCTGTGAGTGAACACTCTGTCATTCTACACACATAGGAAGCTGAAAGCCTGAAAAGTAGGGTTCCTGAATTTTCCTGATTTCTAGACTAATATATCATATTCCTCAGAAGAAAATGATTTCATGAAAGATGTTATTTTCAGAGAACTAGTTAGTAATTATTTTTCCTTTCTTAAAAATAGGATTAAAAGAGTAAAACTAATATCTAACAAAGGGACTGAAACTGACAATGATGCAAGTTGTCTCCATCCTATCATTAAGAAGAAACAATGTCGGCCAGAGATGAGAATGTGGCAAACAAGAGAGAAAGCAAAATTTTCAGATGGAGAAAAGTGCCGTAGGGTAAGATTTAGATGGGTATAAGCATAACAAAATATTTTCTTTCCCATGTAAAATTTCCCTGTTGTTAGCCCCTTCTAGCAAGACAAAATAGATACTAGTAGGTTTGTAAATTTGTCCTAAAACAAATGAGTAAAACCACAGGATGTGAAAAGAAAATATCACATGAAGACTAGAAGTTAGTGTTAAGATTTCTAGGGCTAGAACTTGTTATTGATTTTGCTACTACTAATCCAGCCTTAGCAGTAGACTCATAGATTTAATAAAGAGATCGGTATAGAGGCTACTGTGTCATGTTCCAGAGAAACAATGTTAATATAGTAAGGGCTTGGGCTACTATTTTCTAGGTAGGTAGAGATGGTCTGCTCTATGTCTAAAACTAACTATATACTTTTTTTTTTTTTTTTTTGTGACACAGAGTGTCACTCTGTTGCCCCGGCTAGAGTGCCATGGCGTCAGCTCACAGCAACCTCAAACTCGTGGGCTCAAGTGATCCTACTGCCTCAGCCTCCCAAGTAGCTGGGACTAGAGGCATGTGCCACCATGCCCGGCTAATTTTTTCTATATGGTTTTAGTTGTCCGATTAATTTCTTTCTATTTTTAGTAAAGATGGGGTCTCGCTCTTGCTCAGGCTGGTCTCGAACTCCTGAGCTCAAACAATCCTTCCGCCTCGGCCTCCCGGAGTGCTAGGATTACAGGCATGATCCACTGCGCCCGGCCTATATACTTTTACTTCATTGTCTTGAAGTGGTTTCTTATTTGTTAGACTGTGGCATTTAGTCTAATATTTATTGAGCCATTACTATAACCAGGCATCATTCTAAGTGCTTTACATATATAATACTAATTTCATTTTTTTCAACAACCCTATGAGATAGGTATTTTTATTATCATGACTTTTCAGATGAGGAAACTGAGCCCCAGAGAGATTTAGTAAATTGCCCAAGTTTATTATGCATAGCTAGTATAAGTAAAAGAGCTGTGATTCAGGCTTAGAGTTTGACCTGAGTCTTGGTTTTTAACTACTAAATAATACTATGTCATCATTTAGACCATTTAAAATTAATATTTTTCTTTATTGAGATCAAATAATACACAGGTTTGTTCAGTTTTTGTTTAGTTTACTGCTTGGTAATTTTTACACGATGTTTTGCTTTTACATGTAGCTTGTTAGAGTATTTGGGGTTGTCCTCTGTGAAGGTATTGCGTTCTCTTTGTAGGAGGCTTTTAGGCATTTGGGTAATGGGATTTCAGATGATCTGTCAAGCGAGGAAGATGGGGAAGCACGGACACAGATGATATTACTGCGTAGGAGTGTGGAAGGGGCCTCAAGTGACAATGGTTGTGAAGTTAAGAATAGAAAATCAATACTTTCAAGGCACCTAAACTCTCAGGTAATTTTTATTTGAGTTTATAAAAGCATAGCACTAAATTATTGAATAGTAACAAAATATTTAATTTGTTTTTCTATTGTTTGGTTTGATTTTTGGCAGGTAAAGAAAACCACTACAAAGTGGTGTCATATTGTACGGGATTCAGATAGTCTGGCCGAATCAGAATTTGAATCAGCAGTCTTCAGCCAGGTAAAGTATCCTTTTGAGAGATCATTGTTCATGGTGTATTTTTGAGTATAATAACTTTATCCATCTATTTTTTTTACTGGTTGCTCTAAAGTAGTGTTTATATTTGCCTGCCCTTCACCTGCCTCTAATTATCCATCTACTTATCTGGAAGTTTTTAATGACTACTCAGAGAATGAATTGTTTTTCATTTTGACTCTACTCTTAAAAGCCATAGGTGATGCTCAGAAAGAGGTTACTTAATCCCTAAGCGATGAGAAAGTTACTTAACATTCATTTGGAATGTGGGGATTTATTCTTAAGCATCATAAATTGGATTGACACTGATAAAGACAGATTTTTGAGAAAGGACCTTTGAAGGATGGGGATATTAAATCTCACCCTGAAAGCTAATGGACATTTTGTATCATTTGGAATATCACAGTTCACAGGTGAGCAGAGTAGATGGCGGTATGGTTTTTGTTTTTTTTCGATTGACAAGGCAATTATAGAATAACTTCATGTTTATGTTTGTATTGCAGGAGAGCGGCGTTGTCTGTCCTTTTCTTTGCCTAATTATCCTTTAACACGTGGGGCTGAGTCCCTGGACATGACTATGTCTAAAGTGAAGCTTACAGTATTTATTTATTTAGCTATTTAGTTAGTTACATTTGCCATTTATTTAGTTTTTTTAAAAAGTATACAGATTTGGGGGTACAAGTAGTGTTGTTACATGGATATATTGTGTAGTGGTAAACTCTGGGCTTTTAGTGTACCAATCACCCAAATAGTGTATGTTGTACCCAATAGGTAATTTTTCCTCCCTCATTCCCCTCCCACCTTCCCACCTTTTGGAGTCTGCAGTGTTTAATGTGTACCCCTTGTGTATCTTCCACTTAAAAGTAAGAACGTGCAATATTTTGTTCTGTTCCTGAGTTACTTCACTTAGGATAATGGCCTCCAGTTTCATCCAAATTGCTGCAAAGGACATTATTTCATTCTTTTTTATGACTGAGTAGTACTTCATGGTACATATATATACCACATTTTCTCTATCCAGTCGTCAGTTAATGGATACTTTGGCTGATTCCGTATCTTTGCTATTGTAAACAGTACTGCAATAAATGTACAAGTGCAAGTATCTTTTTGATGTAATGATTTCTTTTCCTTTGGGTAAATACCTGGTAGTGGGATTGCTGGGTTGAATGGTAGATATATTTTTAGTTCTTTGAAAAATCTCCATACTGTTTTCCATAGAGGTTATACTAATTTACATTCCTACCAATGGTGTATAAGCATTCCCTTTTTTCTGCATCCTTGCCTATTGTTTTTTGACTTTAATAATGGCCATTCTGACTAGAGTTGGTGTTTCATTGTGGTTTTAATTTGCATTTCTCTGATGAATAGTGATGTTGAACATTTTTTTCAGATGTGTGTTAGCCATTTGTATGTCTTCTTTTGAAAACTGTTCAGGTCCTTTACCTACTTTTTAATGGTGTTATTTGATTTTATTTCAGAATATTATGGGGATACAAACAGTTTGGTTACGTATAATGCCTTTGCATCGCCTAAGCTAGGGCTACAAGCATGCCCTTCCCCCATACAGTGTGTTCCTCATCCATCAGTTGTGAGTTTATCCACACCCAGCCCCCCTGCGACCTGACTGGTACCCAGTGAATATTACTACCATGTGAACACCTTAGTGTTGATCAGTTAATACCAATTTGATGACGAGTACATGAGGTGCTTGTTTTTCCATTCTTGTGATACCTCACTTCGAAGGATGGGCTCAAGCTCTATCCAGGATAATATAGGAGGTGCTAGTTTATTGTTTTTTGTAGTCGAGTAGTGTTCCATGATTTTTTTTCTTGTTGAGTTGTTTGAGTTCCTTGCAGATTTTGGGTATTATTCATCTGTCAGATGCATAGTTAATGAATATTTGCCTCTCATTCTGTAGGTTGTATATTTACTCTGTTGATTATCTTTTGTGATACAGAAGCGTTTTAGTTTAATTAAATCCCATTTATTTGTTTGTTTATTTTAGAGACAGAGTCTCACTCTGTCACCCCAGGCTAGGGTGCAGTAGTGCGATCATAGCTCATTGTAACCTCCAACTCCTGGGCTAAGCGATCCTCCTGCCTCAGCCTTCTGAGTAGCTGGGACTACAGGCATCTGCCACTACATCTGGCTAATTTTTAAAAATTTTTTGTAGAGGGGCATCTCACTATGTTTCCCAGGCTTATCTTGAACTCCTGGGCTCAAGTAATCCTCCTGCCTCAGCCTCCCCAAGTGCTGGGATTACAAATGTGAGCCACTGTGCCCAGCCCCATTTGTTTATTTTTGTTTTTATTACATTTGCTTTTGGGGTCTTAGTCATAAATTCTTTGCTTAGGCCAGTGTCCAAAAGAATTTTTCCTAGGTTTTCTTCTAGAATGTTTGTTGTTTCAGGTCTTACATTTAAGTCTTTAATCCATCTTGAGTTAATTTTTGTATGTAGTGAGAGAGAGGGATCCAGTTTCATTTTTCTGCATATGACTATCCAGTTTTCCTGGCACTATTTATTGAATAGGGTGGCCTTTCCCCAGTGTATGTTTTTGTCTGCTTTGTTGAAGATCAGTTGGTTGTAGTATATTGCTTTATTTCTGGGTTCTCTATTCTGTTCCATTGATCTATGTGTCTATTTTGTCTATTTTGATACCAGTAACATGCTGGTTTAGTTACTATAGGCTTGTAGTATAATTTGAAGTTAGGTGATGTGATGCCTCTGGCTTTATTCTTTTTGCTTAGCATTGCTATGGCTATTTGGGCTATTTTTTGGTTCCATATGAATTTTAGGGTAATTTTTTCTAATTCTGTGAAAAATTACATTGGTATTTTGATAGAATTTGCATTGATTCTACAGATTGCTTTGGACAGTATGATCATTTTAACAATATTGATTCATCCAATCCAGACAGTCTCACAATATTTAAAGTTGGGGACACTTTGTGTATGTCAAAAGGTTCAGCCAAGTCAATTGAGTAGCTCATCTGGGTGTGCTTACAGGAGTCATTCCCGCCTAGAACACCTTAGTTGACAATCCCATGTCTTGACAATAACTTCTTAGAGGGAGTCCTTTGAAAATCCTCTTTGCTAGAGACATCAGAGTTTAACATTTAAATATTAAAATGTATTATTATGTGAAGGCTTGTGAACAAATGAATACATGGTGATAGACTTATGAAGGTTGCCAACCATTGCCATAGATAACTTCTTCTAATTTTATTTCAGATATATAATGCTTTTTAAAGATGAATAAAAATTTTTTTTTGTTTTGTTTCCTTTAAAGGGCTCTAGATCTGGTGTGAGTGGTGGCTCTCGAAGCATCAACATGTCAAGAAGAGACTCAGAAAGCACCCGCCATGACTCAGAGACTGAGGATATGTTATGGGATGACCTGCTGCATGGCCCAGAGTGCCGGTCATCTGTCACCAGTGACAGTGAGGGGGCCCCTGTGAATACCCTTCACTCAGGGACCAAACGCGACCCCAAAGAGGATGTTTTTCAACAGGTCTGTGAACACATGATAATAATTGCTAACATTTACCACGTACTCACCATGTGTCAGGCACTGTATTATCTCATTTAACTTTACAATACTCCTATAAAGTAGATAATGTTGTTATCCCCAATTTAGACGTGACGAAATTGAGCACAGTTTATAGCTGAAGATGTTAGGATTAGAACTCAGGGATTAGTAATCTAGAGTTACCCTAACCTAGATTTTTCTTCATATCACTTTTCTTCATTAATTTCCTAAGAATGATCCTTAATGTTCATTTTACATTAGCAAGGTTGTTCGTTTGGTGTGTCTGCCGTATATCTTCATAAACATCAGAGTATTGTATATGAATTACTGGGAAATGGCTTTGCTTACTTCTCTAATGCATAAATCAAGTGATGTTTTTAATTTCAGGTTTTATATTGATATCATAAAATCAGATATCTCTTAGATAGGTATCAGATCTTTTAACTGGATTCATTCTGTATCTGTAGAAATTTTTTTACCATCTGTCACCTGGTAATAATAGTTCCTGTTTCTTAGGAATAATGTGGAAAAGCTAATGAGATAATATAAAGTGTGTAGCAAGAGTCAGCCAATGAACGTTAGCAGTATTATTAATATCTCCATCAGATGGACAGTTGGCTTCTGCTTGAATACTTTGGGAGCTGGAGTGCTTGTTATTTCCTGAGACAGCTTGTTCCACTGTTGGATAGATTGAATGATAAGAAATGGTTCTCATATCAGCCTTTCAGATGTTTAATGACAATGATCACAATCCTTTTTAGTTTTTGTTCTTTAGGCTAAATATTTCCACATAATGGACTGCAAATAGTGGATGATGGATATATGTTTGTTTAATTATTGAATTTCCTAATTCTAAGATACCATTGATTTAAGTTACATATTTTCATGTAAAAAATCCACTTTATTAAATGTATACAATTTTTAAAAAACTAACCGGAAACAATTTACATTTTCTCATTAAAGTTTTATGCTATTTTCTCCAATTTTGCTGTAAAAATTTGAGTCTAAATATTCTTTACATTCAGCCTGAATAGTCATCTAAATTATTAATACATTAGCCCTCAGTAGTTATGACCTCCTTAGTACTTCTGGGATTTGCAGTATAATTTTAAGACATACATAAGAATAACTGGGTGTGGTCAACTCACCATGTCAGTTGGAATTCATTTCCCAATTCCCCCTGCCTAACCTGTTCCTCTTCTTTTATTCCCATATTTCTGAATACCACCAGTAACCACCCAAGGCAGAAACCTTGGAGTCATTCTTGACCCCACTCTCTCCATCATTTCTCTCATCATGTTCTCTTGATTCACCTGTCTAAATATCTGCATTTGTCCATTTGTGTCTACCCTGCTTGGTGCAGGCTGTCGTCATCTCTCATCTGGATCATTTCATCAGCTTCTCTAGGCTTGCCTCCATTCCTTTCATTTTCCTCACTACAGCCAGAGTGACACTTCTAAAATATAAACGTGATAATACAGTCACTCCCTTTAAACTCCTTTGTTCTTCCTTCTGGATTATGTGCTTCTCTTCTTTTATTTGCCCTAATACAGTCTCATCTCTGACCATTCCCTCCCTGCTCTTGACATTGTATACTTCAGCCCAACTGAACTTCTTCCAGTTTCTGATATGTACCAGCCCCTATGTGCTTCTGGGCCTTTACACATGCTGGTTTCTTTGCCTGGGACATGCTTTTCTCTAATACCAATTCCTTTGGCTCACTCTTTTTTATTTTTCAGGCAGATCTTGGCTTGAGTGATACTTCCTTCAGGAAGCCATTCCTATATACTTCTAAAGCACTCTTTCCTTTCCTTACCATGCCATGTAGTAACTCTATTTAATTATGTCTCCTTAAGAAGTCTGTAAGCTCCTTGATAGCAAGGAAGCCCATCTTGTTTTCCATTTTATCTACAGTGCATGATACATAGTAGGTGCTTAATAAATATTTGTTGGATAAATTAATGAATCAATTAATAAAATCAATAAATGCTCATTGTCATTATACTAAGCATTGTAGGAGAAAGAGAAGAAATATACCATGTGGTTCCTTGCTAGAAACTTAGTTTGGGGACAAGATGATTATATAGGAAATAAGTAGAGGACACTATAAAAGCACCATATAATAAGATGCTAATTTGTCTGATACAGACTATATAGGTTTTTAATTTCAGAGAAGGGCAAAATTAGTGAAGCTGTGGCTGTCCAAGTGGACTATTCTAAGTAAAATCGGTCTTCAGCTGGTACTTGAAAAATAAGACATAATATAGCAGAGGGGTTAGGGAGATGTTTTCATTGTGACTCTCTTGAGCTTGAGCTTTTCTAAATCTCACTACTTTTCTGTGTCCTGGTTAGACCAGAGACAGGCTTAACTCTTGTCACTCATGTGATATATAAGGCCTTTTAGCACCTCTCCTATTTTACTTCCTGATTCTCCCAGTATAGTCTCGTTGCTCTGGAAATATTTTCTTCCTTAAGATCCTGTGAATACACTAAGTTTATCATCACTTCCATGCCTTGAGAGAGGGAAACAACCTTGGAGATCATGGAATCCTTTCTCTTCTCATTATGGAAGACATTTAGCCTCTCTCCAGGTAAGAAAATGGCTTAGAAAAGTAAAAAGGACTGTAAATCAGCATCATAGACGTAGTTCATTGGAGTGATGAGCTTTGGGAGAGAGAGAGTAGACTGATGAGATTGAACATTGGTGAATGTGGCCTGCGAGCTAGACAAAGGGAAAGAAACTAATGAGGTAAGGAAGAGTGGATATAAATAGTTTTATATTTTTCTCTTCAGAACCATTTATTCTGGCTTCAGAACTCAAGTCCTGCCTCTGATCGAGTCAGTGCAATAATCTGGGAAGGTAATGAGTGCAAAAAGATGGATATGTCTGTGTTGGAAATAAGTGGCATCATCATGAGCAGGGTAAGATCGAATAAGTATTCAGGTTTTTCAAAAAAATATACTTAGTGGTCGGGAGCTATTTTGTAAGAATCTACTTAATGATTAAAACAATATGACTGCTTTTGAAATACAAATATATATATATATATTTAATTTTGTAGTCAGAGTCTTGGTAGTATATTTTTTTATTATACATGTTCTCTGTTAGGATGAGATGAACAACATCAGTTGTTCAGATGTGCCCTGCAAATATTCTCTCTCTCATTTAAGCCTAGTTTTTAATAAGATCTAACAGTCATAAATCTGTGTCATTTATATTTGTACTTTTGAAATGTGTTTTTAATACTCTAAATAGTATTTGATAAATACTGCTTCGTAACTCCATTTAGCTATGCAATAATGATGGAAATTTTAACTCGATTCCCAGGTTAATGCGTATCAGCAAGGAGTAGGTTATCAGATGCTGGGAAATGTTGTCACCGTGGGATTAGCATTTTTTCCTTTTTTACATCGCCTTTTCTGTGAGAAGAGCCTTGACCAACTAAAGTCCATTTCAGCTGAGGAGATCTTGACTCTCTTTTGTGGGGCACCACCTGTTACACCTATTATAATTTTGTCTATAATTAATTTTTTTGAAAGATTGTGTCTTACTTGGATGTTTTTTTTCATGATGTGTGTGGCAGAGAGAACATATAAACAGGTCAGTGGAGAAATAAGTAAAATTTTTTACCTCTGTTTTTGTATATGATATTCCATTGAGTTTTTGTTCTTTTGATTTGGTCTCTTTCCAAAAGTTAATGTGGGCAATGAAAGACTGGTAAGTGGACATCTAGTATTTGCGAATTTTAATGTCTGTGTTATTGACTATTTACAAATGACATGTTGTAATCTGAAATTTTGCTAAACTCCATGTGAGTATGTGACTTTGTTGTTTTTTATCTGTGGCATAGGTAGTAATTCTCAAAGTGATAATGTTTTTGTGAAAATGTTTTAGAGAAATAAATTCATTGAAATTTGATGAGTTATGGATTGAAGACTTAATATATTGATGATATGCACAGGAAATGTGATTTCGAAGGGAAATATAATTTGAAAGTAAGCCAGAGTCAGGTGTAAACATTTGAGTTGTGAAGTTGGAGATTCATAAACTCCAAGCATTCTTTGGGGATCTCCAAAGGATATTCCTTGCAGATGTCAAGAGTGTACCATTTTGTGAAGAAATACATTACTATGTAATGTGCTTTGGAAGCAACAGGGGAATGAACTATTAATGAAATCTTTTCCCTGCCCTTCTAAATGATTACTGATTAGAATTTCATTCTTTTAAACATTTTTTATATGCTGGGAATATTGTTGACAATTATATGAATACATACACAGAGACATATGTGCGTTTCACTTTGTGATTTTTTTTTAAACTTCTTCTAGAGATTTTTATTTGCAAAACTCTTCAGCCATATTACTTCAGCCAGGAAAGCTAGGAAATATGAAATACCTCATTTCAGACTTAAAAAGGTGGAGAATATTAAAATATGGTTATCACTTCGTTCCTATCTAAAGGTGAGTTTTATTTGATTAACAACAGAGCATATGCAAGAATATGCTCACTGAAGTTTCTGGCAGCAGTTAGGCAGTGTAGTTCTGGTTATGAGACATTATAGCAGTGAGGGACAGACTTGCTGGACATCAAGTTGGACGTCATCTGTCTGCAAAGCAGGTGGGGATAAGTAAGGGCTTAGGGAAAATTTAAATTTCCTAGGATGGAGTGATAAATAGTGCATCTTTTTTTACTTTTTGGGAAATATTTCAGCTGAAAATATGTCAATGAATCCGTCACCCCTTAATTTGGAAAGGTACGGATTTCAATAAAGTTGATGATGTCCAAAATATGTTAAAATCCTATGTCAAAAACTTGTTATAAATGTCGTTTTCACACTAATGTAGTGAAATTCAAAATGTTAATGATGTGAGGGCTGTTGCTGTCTCTGACATAAACTAAAACTTTAACACGTGTGTCTCACTCCACAGAGACGGGGTCCACAGCGTTCCGTTGATGTGGTTGTGTCTTCGGTCTTCTTACTGACACTTTCGATTGCTTTTATTTGTTGTGCCCAGGTAAAAGTTTTATATCTGCTTTAAGGAAAAATGAAAATTTTATTATAGAGTTCACTTCTTGTTTTAGAGCAGGTCACTGTGTATTTAAGTATATATTTTTTTAATGTAGCTACATTTCTTTTACTATTTTAAATACTTGTTAATTTTTGTAACTTTTAAAGATGGGAATAAAAGTAATTTTGAAGTCCTTTAAGACAGTAAGATCACTGTAATTTAATATTAGTTGGTAATTATTGACTGATAATAAAGCTTTCAGACCATGATTGCAAAGTATTGATTTTCTAACTGCATCACTACTTCTACATTTATTAGTTGTCACTCCAAGGTAGACCTTTCCTTTCTTTCTCATTTACTTATTATACTGTGGAATAGATCATTCTTATTTTTATCCAGTGGGTTAAAATATATTACTATATTTGTTTTGATGCCTAAATTGTCCCCGATTTGGCCAGTGGCAGTCCCTTGAAGCCCCCTCCTGTGTCCTTTTGACAAGTCGTCCTATTTTTTTTTTTTTTAAGCACTTCTATGCTTTCTATATTACAAGAAGTTACAGGCTTATCTTATACTTTCCCATTTATTGAGTTTTAACTTAATTCTACTGTGGTCAGAGAACATACTCTGAATGTTTTCAGACCTTTGAAGTATGTAGAGGCTTTATCATGCAGCATATGTTCAGTTTAATTAAATCTTTCATCAGCACTCTGAAAGGATTGATGTTCTGTTGTTGTTTACTGTGGTGTTCTATATATGTCGGTTAGTCCAAGTTTATTAGTTGTGTTGCTGAAATTATATTCTTACTCAGTTATTGGTCTGCTTATTCTGTCAGGCATTGGTAGAGGTGTGTTCAAGCCTATTATGATTGTGGACTTGTCTATTTTTCCTTTTATTTCTGTCAATTTTGCTTTATATATCTTGAAGCTGGGTAACCGGGCACATTCAGATTTCGAATTATTGTCCATCTTCTTGGTGGATTGACTTTTATGTCTTTTATGTTTTAAAATTTTTTTTTCCTGAATCCAGGATCCAATTCAGAATTATATATTGCATTTAGGTGTCATGTCTCTTTAGTCTCCTTTAATCTGGAAAAGTCTCAGGCTTTTCTTTGTCTTTTATGACCTTATAAAATATCTCTATTTCTGATGTTTCTACTTCATTTGATGTTAATTTAACTACACCAGCTGTCTTTTGATTAGTTTTTGCATCTTATATCTTTGTCTACCCTCTTTCATTTTTTTTGTTCTCATAGTTTGGATGTGTCTCTTGTAATCAACATGTCCTTTTTTGGTTTCTTACTTCTCAATCTAACCTCATAGTCTTAGTATTTTGGAGTTTCTGGCCCATTTAAACTTAATGTAATTACTATAACTACAAATACTGTCTGGTTCCTATTTGGTTCACGTGTTAATTTTCCTTTTTCACTCCGCTCTTGCCATCTTTTTATTAACCAAACATTTTTTAAAGTTCTACTTAATCCTCTCTATTAACTTGTTATATATTCTTGTACTATTGTTTTAGTAATGAACACAGAGATTACAATATGCATCTTTAGCTTATTATAGTCTAATAAAATGATTCATTTACCATTTCCTTGATAATGGTAGGGTCTTAGAATACTTTATCTCATTTACCTCTTCACCTTTTATGTCAGTATTGTCCTTCATTCTGATTTTACATATATTTTAAACCCACAAGATGAAATTGTTATTGTTTTGTGTAGTCAGTCATTTATATTTACCCATACATTTACTCTTTCCATTGCTTTTCATTATTTCCTTCATTTCTCTGTTTCTCTCTGGGATTATTTTCCTCCTACTTGAGTATCCTTCTTAATATTTATTTTAGTGTCATTCCTTTGCTGGTCACTGTGTATTTAAGACATATATCATTCTCTCAGTTTTTACTTGTTTGAAATGTCTTTTATCACTTTCATTTTTGAATGATTTTTTTGGGGGGGCAGGGAGAGACAAGGTCTTGTTCTGTCACCCTGGCTAGAGTGCAGTGGTATCATCACAGCTCACTGCAACCTCAAACTCCTGGGCCCAGATGATTCTCCCACGTCAGCCTCCCAAGTAGCTGGGACTACAGGTGCACGCCGCCATGCCTGGCTAATTTTTCTATTTTTTGTA